AATCTATCTGCATATCTATCTATCGCTGGCTTATTTGCCGGGCTTATATACTAAAAAGAGAGGGCACCTGGCAAACATTCGGATATTCGCGGAGTTCCTCGATAAGTCATGATCCTTCGAGAAATTCCAGTGCGCATGCTCCCAGCGTCGCGTGACTTCTACTGTCGTAACTTAATGCTAGAAATATAAGAAATAAAACGGATGGCCTTAAAGCACTGGTTGGGACAGAGGATTTTTATATAATGGGAATAATTGAAACTGCTAAACGTAGACAATTTTGAGGACAGGAATTTCATTGAAATGCAAGGTTATAGGTTGTTTAATAAAGATAGTGTTAAAAAATAGGAGAGGAGTTTCTTTATATGTAAAATATGAGTTGCAGTCTGTTCAAGTTAACGATATGAAAGCTAATAGCAATAAAGTTGAATCTATTTGAGTTTCTATTAGTGGTTATAAGGGGAGAAATTTGTTACAGATTACTAGATAAAACTGGTGGAACTAATGAGAAACTCTACAGGGAGAAAAAGAATTCAGCTGTTAATGGGTCATAATTATGAAAGATTTTAATTTTAAGCATATAAGTTGGGAAATGTTAGAGTCAAATCATGAGAGAGACAGGATTTTAGAAACTATTCAGGACAGTTTTCTTGAACAGTTTGTTAGTGAACCTATTAGAAACAACTAGATTTATTGTTAACTTCTAATAAAGAAATGGTTGATGGAGTAGAGGTTGGGAAATATCTGAGTGTAAGTGATCATTGCTCAGTTAGATTTGATGTTTTGTTTTATATGGAGATAAGGAATAATGAGATTTTGGTTCCAGATTTCAAAAAAGTAAATTTTAAAGAGATAAGAGAAGAATTATGTGCTGTGAATTGGGCAACTGAATTAGATGGAGGTACTGATCAAATGTGAAAAACTTTTAAAATATATTCTTAAATATTCAAGATAGGTATGTTCCTTATAGACAAAAAAAGAATTGACTGCAAGTAAAAAACCAGGTTGTTTCACAAAAGATATAAAGAATAATATTATAGAAAAGCATTATAAATATATGAAGTGTAAATTGAATACAATGATGAGAGATTTGGAGGATTATAGAACACCAAGAGATGTGGTCAAATGGGAAATTAAAAAAGTATGTGAAAAAAGTTTGCTGAAGATATAAAAATTAATAGTAAGTGTTTCTTCAAATACATTAAGGGTAATTTTATTTCAGTCATATTGTGGTACTACACTAAGAGTAAAAAAATACAAAACTGACATTTTTTGGCACAAAGAAAGGTAAAAGTTTTATTATTATTTAGAACTGACTAGTTTCAGGAACACTAGTCAGCTCTAACTGATAAAGATTTTGCCTCTCATTGTGGCAAAAAACGTTGGTTTTGTGTTTTTACTCTTAATACATTATAACATTAAGCAAAACATTAGGATTGGTGTAGGGCTTTTAATGGATTTTACAGGAAAGTTAATACATCGGTTTTGTGTTTTTTACTCTTAATCTAATATATAAAGCTAAGTTTGTGTCTGTTCATTTGCATCTTTCAGCCCATATAATAGTAGGTCTATGAGGATATAGAATCAGCATACTCAGGTTTAATGTCTGTGACGTCACATTTTTAGTGTCAATGAAAAGTTTGTAATCTAATTTTTTCCACAGAAGACAGACTGGATTTTTGGTCTGATTTAAGTGGAAATGACGTCAGAAAAATAAATGTGTATTTTATAGAGAGGTGTGCTGCCCTTGTGGTGTCAGAATAAAAATCCATCAAGTGCTGTCATGTCTACTGACAAACAAAACTAACTTTTTTATAGAATAGAGAAGCTAAACCCATATAATTCTGCAAAAATAAATTGGTTTTTATTCCTTTATTTTGGAAGGGGAGTTAGGTATGATAAACATTTCTGATGCTGATTTTGTACCTCTGAGCAAAATGTTGAGAAAAAGAAAAACAATTGTGAATGCCAATCACAAGCAGAAAAAGTGACAAAGTGAGACTTCACAAGAAAGGGAAACATGCCTTGACAGCCAATGAAAAAGATAAGCTGCTTATTGTCAAGCTGAGACTGAGCAAGATTGGCAATTTCACAGAGACAGTGACTGCATCTCTTATGCAGCGTGCCATTTGCAAGAAACATCAAAAACATGAGACCTTCATTGGCAAGGAAATAGAGAAAAATATCATTTTTAATTGGGATCTGAACTGGGAAAAAGCTTCCTTCAACTAAAATAAATCTATGATTTCATTTATTTTCTTAAATTTTTACACTCTTAAGCCATTTATCTCACAGAAAATATGACCATTTGACATGTATTGTCACATGAAAAGCAAAATTTTGATCCTTTCTGTTTAGTAATAGCTAAACATCGGCCCTCTTTTCAGGTAATACCTGGGCAACTCTGGATAAGGATGGCTAGTACATTATAAAGTTTGTAGTTATGCACAAAGCTACACAATGGGCTATCTGTGCTCTTCCCACCATGGGTATCGAAACCCGATTTCTAGCATTGTAAGTTCACAGACATACCGCTATGCCACTGGGGGCACATTATATAGGTAAGCAAAATATCAGGATGGTAGTAGAGTTTTAAGGGATGATACAGGAAAGCTAATATCTGATGATTATGGAATTGCTGGATTACTAACTTCCACTTTTCTTTAGATTTTACTAATGAAGATCTAAAAAATATTCCTCATCCTGATAAACTGCTAGGTGAAAACAAGATTAAACAAGATGATCACATTAATTCTGAGCTAGTTAAGAAAATAATTGTGAAGCTTAAAGAATGATAAATCTTCTGGACCAGATAATTATCGAAGGGTTTTGAAAAAGGTTATGGATTGGATATGTGAACCACTTGCTACTATTTTTTCTAAGTCCTTGAATAGTGGGCAGGTGCCATAAAGTTAGAAGTTGCCTAATATTATTTCTTCTTTCATGGGAAGTGTTAGGAATTCTCCCAGTAATTATAGTATGGGAAAATATTTTGAAAGTCTGACAAAAGATGCTTTGCAAAGCCATTTAACAGTTTAAAATTTTGTTGGATAGTTAGCATGGTATCACTAGGGGAAAATCTTGCCTTACTAATCTTTTGACATTTTTTGAAGAGGTTACTGCATAGGTAGATGTGGGTACAGGTGTGGATGTGGTGTATCTGGATTTCCAGAAAGCATGTCTCAAGGTGCCACATAAAAGGCTTGTTAAAAAAAGTTACAGTAGGAGTGGGAGGTAGATTGGCTCATTGAATAGAAAACTGAATAGATAAAAGAAATCATAGGGTTGTTAAAAAAGGAGTTCAGTCAAACTGGATTAATGTTAAAAGTGGAGTACTTAAGGATTTAGTCTTAGAACCTTTACTCTTTTTGATTTACATCAATGACATAGAATAGTCAATAAATTATTTACATTTGCTGATGACATTAAAGTTTTATGTGTTGCCAGCTGTGAGGAGGATGTTAATGTTGTACAAAAGGACTTGGATTATTTAATGAGTTGAACTAATAAGTAGAAGATGACTTTTAATTATACTAAATTCAAGGCAATGCATGTGGGATATAACAAATTGAATTATGAGTATAATATTGATGGGAACAATCTTAACAGTTTTATGGAAGGATTTTGATGTTCTTGTTATTCAATCTCTTAAGCTGTCCAAGCAATCTGCTGTTGCTAGTGGCAGGACAAATAGGATTTTAAGTCGTATCTACAGAAATGTTGAATACTAGTTTATAGTGGTTATAATGTTATTGTATAGGTCATTGGCTAGGCCACATTTGGAGTACCATGTTCAAGCTTGGGCTCCTCACATTAAAAGGACATTGAATTGTTGAAAGAAGTTTAGAAGAGGGTTACTAGGATGATACCTGGGATGGAAAGGTTGTCATTGAAGGATAGGTTAAGATCTCTAAACTTGTTTTCTCTAGAGGGAATTTGGTTAAGGTGTTTATGATTGTTAAGGGAATTGATATTGTTAATGCATCATCTTTTTTAGTATTTAATGATAAGACTAGGGGACAGAAATATAAATTTTGGCAGGATAAAAGTCATCTTTAGTTTAGACAGCTTTTTTTTTAACAAGGTGGTTGGCCTTTGGAATGGGTTGCCTTCAGATGTTGCAGATGCAGTTAATTTAGGTGTTAAACTGGTCTAAGGGAAAGCTTGATAAACATTTGAATGATAAGGATTGGCTTTTTTAATGTTTATTTTAATTATTGGATAGGACAGCCTAGATGAACTAAAGGGTCTGTTGTTGTCGTTTAAAGTTTTGTTAAAACTGACAACTTATATACAGGGTGGGACAAAAGTGTCTATACAGATGTTTCATTTATAATTATTACTTTGAAACAAACAATAACTAGGTTGGCTTTTATCATTTTCATATTTCTCTAGTACCAACACTATAATACCAACTATACCAACCATGTAGTATCAACAGTGTCACCTATATAGTACCATTTTACCAACCTTATTGTACTAACTGTATAGTAACTTGTGTCCCTATTATAAATGAGTTTTGTAAAGAAAACCTTCCTAGATGTTACTTTGTTTTTGTTCTATGTTGTTTCATAGCCTATAGGTCCTAGGTAAATTTGATTAGATTGCCTTACATTGACAAAATATCACAACAGCTGCATCTTTTTTAATACTGTGATATAAGTCACTATTAAATGGAATGTAATTCAGAAGCTGTCTCTAGAAAATTAAAACATTGGCCATTCTTATAGTTGCCACAGCATTATAACAACTGAATATTTGAACAACAATATTTTTTTATTTTTATTATTGATGTGTGTGTGTGTGTGCAAAAGTTCATTGTTAGAAATTGTAAACTAGAGATCAGGGGAAGAAGGGAAGGGCATTCAATGCTTAAAAGAACTAAAAGTCTTAGATGCTTGGAGATACATTCCAAATCACCTAATACCTGTAATTTGTATCTTATGCATGAATTAGTTTTAATATTTTTTTATGATGATGATGATAAGGTTTAAGTGATTTTGAAATAAACATTTGTGTTTAACTATTGCATATTCTGAGGAATAGTCTTAGCAAGCATGATATATCAAGCATAGGGTAATCAGATCATACAGCCCACTAAAAGCTTGTGTATTAAGATTATTGTTATTTCAAGGGTTTGGTTTATTTTAAATTTAGTGCCAAGCTACTTGAGGGCTATCTGCACTAGCCATCCCTAATTTATCAGTGATAGACTAGAGGGAAGGCAGCTAGGCAACACCACCCATAGCCAACTCTTGGGCTACTCTTTTTACCAATGAATAGTGGAATTGACTGTCACATTATAACACCCCCATGGCTGAAAGGGCAAGCATGTATGGTGGGATGGGGATCCAAATCCACAACCCTTAGATTGTGAGTTAAGTGCCCTAACCACCAGGTTAGGCCATTATTTTAAGGTATTGAAAATCTCATATTTTGTTGCATTGTTGTTACACTTACGAATAATAAGAACGTTTTAATTTTAGATGTAATTTGTTACTCAAGTGAAAGGAACCAAGCAATCAGTGCCTCATTTGTGCTTAAGACTAGTACTATTTTTTCACATTGAGTGTGAATACTTACAAAGCTATCCAATAAGAATAATTATTTTTATGTCATTTTTTTTGTTAGGTATACAACAAGGCACCTGAATGATGAATCAACACCAAAACATATTAAAGGTCTTCTAGCATAATATAATGATTTTTTTTTTCTGTAATATATAAATGAGATGATGCAATGCTTGTAAGTATCTAACCTTCTTCGAAGTTTGTTTTACAAACATACTAAAGAAGAATCCATTGAAAGATGTGTTCTATCCAGTGGTTCTGGTTTTACTTTGAGTGATATTATTGGTTTTTTTTATTTTACCTCGTACTCACATGTAAATAGAAGATGTGAGGCTGCTTCTTTATTTGTATCATAAGAAAAATACGTTTTTCATAAAGACTGCATTTGTATTGTTTTACTTCTTGAACAAATACCGTGGAATCTACATTTATATATATTTGTCCATTCCTTGTCAGTATTACAGATTATAATTATATTGATGTTTTCAAAGATTATCTTATACAAGTATTGGTCATTTGAAATTTCTAAAATATTGATGTAACTCATTATTTGATGTATAATAATTGATCATTGCACATTGTGAAACTTTATTCACTTTAAAAACGGTGTTTTTGGAATGTGTATGTATTGATCTAGATATATATTTTGGTAACCAGCCAGATGGTTTCTCTGAGCACTGGTAAATTAGCTAGCAAATGTTGATGTAATCTTAAATGTATTGCTGTCTGAAGCGTGTTAAGTCAAGATCTGATTTCTGGACTTTACATGTGGCTAGATCAGGAGTGCTTGTTTCTGCTATGTATGAAGACTCTGAAGTCAGTATATTGTATTCTACTTATCCTTACTGACAGAGTTAATCAGTATAATATAACTGAAACCAAGTACATGAATTTTGAGGTTTAAATTTCTGTTGTTTGGAAAAACTTAAAAAACCGTTGCAAATATTATTTAGAATTTTATCTTAGATTCAACAAGTAATGTTTCAAGGTGTTCTTTTTCTAGTCCCTTCAAGATATAAAGAGGAGCTACATTTATTGACAAGGCTCGTTATTGTCATTGTCACAAATATTAAAATTGTATGTGTTTTTTTCCTGTATCTGTAACTTGGATTATTAAGCTTAGATTGGGAATGATCACAACCCTGATTTGTAGGAACATTGTTCCACAATATTTCAAGTTAAAAAATGTACAATTTCAGGTAAACAAAAATAACGAGTTTTATTGTTGCCGGAAAAAATTGTGGCAGCAGTTGCTAGTTTTGACAGCATGGCTTACAAAGTGTTTACAGCAATTACTGTTTTATTTTATTTTTTAAATAATTGGGATTTTTAAATACATGACTAACAAGGTTTTCACAGTAATTACAGCCCCCTAGTGGCTCAGTGGTAAGCCTGCAAACTTATAACTCTAAAAACTGGATTTCGATACCCATGGTGGACACAGCACAGATAGCCCAGTATAGGTTTGTGCTTAACTACAAATAAACAAATAAAACAATTACTGTATTTGTAACGTTTTTAAAATCAGGAAAATGACTAAAAAGGGAAGATTGGTATACTATTAGAAACAAAATAAATAATTTAGTTTCATTGATTATCATAATTTTATTACTATTTTATGAAACTTGCATAATATACATTAGAGTTAGTGTAATGATTAAAAAATAAATTAAAATTTTAGTATTATGACAATATCAGTTGCAAATTCATAAACACAAAATTTAAAAAATTGCAATACATTTTTTTGTGCAACATTTCGAAAGCCCAATAAGTTGCTTGAAATTGGAGTTACACTTTTGTGTGATTCCACAGCTTGCTGTAGAGCCTATATCTTTTTTTTTCCAGGCAGTTTGAATTTACCACAAAAATTAATTGTATTTTCTGAAATGAAAATAATTGCTTTAATCTTGTATTTTGTGTTAACATATTCAAGTTTCAAGAATACCAGGCATTAATGAAAATATCAAAACTTGTTTAACTGCAAACTTTTGATTTCCTGGCTGAAGAAAAGCATTTAGCAGGTTAAATACTCGATCTTCATGAACACCTTCATTACAGCTTGTGTCTGTAAAATACTGAGTATGTCTCTCGTGATATAACATTTCTTCTTTGAGGAAATCAATTATCAGTTTTACAAAATAATATTATGACCTTGTACAGTTGATTTAAAATTAAAGATCTCACACTAGCCTTAGTAATACTTTAACATTCACCAAATAACAAGTTTTATGTCCTTTAAAAAACTGGTAAATTTTGTAAAATTCTGATGCATAATGTCATATATATATTGGTGTTATTTTATGAACCATCATGTGAACTGAAAATTTGATAAAAACCAAATATGCCTTCCTCATCATCATGTGCTGTTGACTTTTTTATTTTATTGGAGTTTTTTAATATGAAGATATTTTAGTTTTATATAAACAAAGTGTTTAAACATGTATGATGTGCTAATTTTGTGTGAACTATCATTTGTTAGGAATTTTATGTAAACATTTCCATTTTTTATGCAACTCAATGGTAGAGTTGACACTGTGCATACAAATTAGTTATTTGTTATTTATTGATCAATATTTTAAGAACACTTTTTATAAGCTTGTAAAGTTTGACAAAGACATTATAGAATTGAAATTCATTAGAACTTGGACATTTATTTAAAACTGTTATATTTAGTTACCAATAATGTCAATAAAAAATTTGGCATTTACATATAGGTTTATGTATTGAATCTGTGTTGTTGTGTTTTTTTGAATAATTAAAGTAAGTTGATGTTCATTTCTAGAAATGATACAGAAAAGAAATAGTAAGTGTACAATTATTTTTGCTTCTCAAATTATTTGACGTAGGTAAACTGTTATTAAGAATTTATTTTCGAAAAGTAATGTCATCAAAACTAATATCATCAATTAACATTAGCTTTTCATTTATAGCAAAGTTTAGATTGTATAATAAAATTAGTACAGAAGAAACTAGGGTTTGTGGAACATTATGTTTGATTTGTAGTGAATCAAAATTCACAATATAGGAAAAGTTATCTCTCATAAAACTTAAAAAAAAAGTAAACTTGCACATATAGAGAAACAAGCTAGATGAGCAGGAAAGTACCAGAGTCAACTGACACAGATACTGAATCATCTTCTTTTTTTTAACTGAAGATTTTAACTGAATTATGTGTTCAACACCTGAATAGTATGCCAGTAGTTTTCAAACTGTCTTTCATAGAACCACAGGGTTGTATGAAGGGTCATCAGGGGTTCCCCAAAATTTTCCATTTATTGTATGTTAACCTGTTGGGGACCAAATTTCTTTTTAAAAATCAAGAATCAGTTGATATTCAGTCTTTTCCATACAGTTACATACCAAGCAAACAAAATAAATATAGAAGAAATATTTTAAGAAATATAGTTACAACTTTTCCATTTGTGCTTATCTCATTGTGAGAAATTTTACATTAACAATACTGTCACAAACTTGGCCAATTTTATCTTGGCTAGGCTTTAAGAGTCGGTTAAGGGTTAGGTTTCGTGACAGAAGGAATGAAGTAAGAGGGTTCTGTGGCTTTGTAAAGTTTGAAAACTACTGCTCTACAAAACAAGAAGTTAGGCACTGTCAAGAAATACATTTGTATTTCTTAAGTTTAATGTCTTGCAAACAATTATGAACATTTTTTGATATTAGTGTATAAGAATTATAAAAAATATTATTATAAATGTATTAAAATGAGATGAACCTTTTTCTGTTTCATGTAATAATAGTTTTTGGATTCCTCCAGTAAAACTTACTTTTGATCAGTGGTTCAGAATATATGAGATTTGAAACTAAAATTTGATGATTCTTTCTTTGAAAACATGCAAACCAGTTTTGTTTTCCATACTTGTTATGTATTGTGTTTAAGGTGCTAATATTTAATGCATGTATACAAGTATTCTCACTGCTGTTGTAAATGTTGTCAGAATTTATTGACGTGTGTATTGTATGGGCCATATTTAGAACTTCCATTACATTCATGATGTTGTACAATATTGCCAGAATCTTTTAATGGATTAGTGAATTACTTAATATTTTATGGACATAGAAATAATAATAAAAATTCCACTCATTTTTTGTTGCATAAATAATTTTTACTAACAACGTTTACTTATCAGTAAAATTTAATACATAAATGATAAAGCCTTTGATGTTCAGCAGTAAGTTTATGCACTTGCAACACTAAAATCTGGTGTCGATTCCCAGTTGTTAACAGAGCAAAGACAGTCCAATACACAGCGTGGTCACAAGTAAATATACACCACCTTTTCAGAAAAAATTAAATTTTTCAGTCATATTCACATGAATTGATATGTTTATAATTTAATTAATATCTAGTAGATCTTCCTTTCGCTTCGTGGAGTTCGTTGATCCTTTGGGGTATCGTGAGAATCATCTCGTCAATTTTAGATTGTGGGATTTTCGCCCACTCTTGCTCTAAAACTTGGAGTAGATCGCTCAACGAAGTTGGTTTTTTTTTTTGGTTGTTTCTTGACTTACCGGTCGAGTATGGCCCAGATGTTTTCGACACGGTGCTCCATCTTCCTGGAACAACGTTGTGTTCGTGTCCACGATACCCGAGGAAAAAAGTGGCAAGAGTCCTTCCTCCAATATTTCGACGTATTTCGCAAAATTTATGCTGCCAACGCACTCC